GCAGAAGGTTTGCTTTCGCACAGAAAGCTTGTAGACTGACCCGAGTCACTTTCGAGGAGTAGTTACTCGGCGGATGAAGTAATGTCCAGGAACGTCAAAACCAGCCCTAGGCAAATGCTCACTCCTAGACGAAATCAACCAAACAATGGAACCAAACCGGTATGTTCGTGCAAACTTTCAAAGCGGTAAACAGTTTGCATGGCCAACATGTAAGCTAAATAACAAAGCGACAGGACTTTAATGGTGTGCCCAAGCAACCAAAAGTGGCGATTCTTTGGGGAGCTTACTTTCGCAATCACTTTGGCATCCCATCAGGCCTCAATTTTACCTAAACTGCACACCACAACCGGCACATGGAGATGTTTGGTGTCAGAGACGAAGACAACTGTTTCCGCATTTGTCAGCTATCCTAGATTGTTGCACGTAGGCTTTTGAGGTGTGCATGATGTCCGACGACTATGAATATCTTCGTCTCACATCCTAATTAATTTGTTCGTTTTTTGATTGGTTCTGTTCATTTCTTCGAAGTCTGAACTTGCATGCCTGAAATGTGTATGGTTTGATTTATTTGTCTGTAAAGTTTTTGTTATTATCATTTGGCGTACTTCGTGTGGTAAGAACATCTGAATGCGTTCCACTCTGGGAAAAAATGAGAGAGGGTTATCTGCGTCTTCGAAGTCGAAACCAAGCAATTTTTTTCTTATGGAATATTACTTTTTATGCGTTCACAAATGTCTAGTTTTTTAAAGGATTTTGGATAGAGAATTGGCCTAACTGTACAAACATAACACATGGGCACCTTAAAATTAGTGAAGTTCTTAATGTACCAAATGTTGAGGGATAAAATTATCTGAAATTAGACAACGTTGGGTCGAAAGGAATCTACACTTTAGTCAAACTCACCGACAGGTAAGTAGTAGAACACAAAGCGCGCAAACAAGTCTCAAATTAAGCCAGGCAGAAGCTCAAGTCGTGCAAAACAGGTTTTTAAATCAAAATCGCTCACAAATTTTCTAAATCGACTATGGCCATTAATTTCATCTTTTCTTCGGTGTAGTTGCTGCAGAAGGACAAGTCCCTTCGTCTGGGCTGTGACGATCGAGGAGCAGCTGGTGTGAAGGCACATCCGTGGTTCCACGGAATGAACTGGAAGCGCCTTGAAGCTGGCCTCACTGATCCTCCCTTCACTCCTGACGTAAGTTAAATTACGAGTCTGCTAAGTCTTTGCCTCCAGCTACTGCATAGTTTACTCTAGCCACTCTCGCATTGAAACTCGCATTCTTGTGGTTGGTCAGACATCCATGACTCTTGTTACGTTAGTGGGAGTCGTCTGCGCCCGACGGAGGGATCATGACGATCTTCGATTTCTGTCTCAGTTGATAGCACAATCGTGGGGAAGGGTGTTTGGTAATTTGTGTAAGACGTATTGACATTCTCAGGTGAACTATGAAGGTGAATAGTCAAGTAATTAATTACCGGCGTTTATATTGAAAATCGTGATTTAAATTTAGTCATTGATGACAACTTATTTATCGTGTTTTCTTTCCTTATACTCGATAGTATTTTATCTGTCCAACTTGAACTCAACAGTCAGATTTGTCTTAATCTGAATCAGCTTCCTTGTCTATTTTATAGCACGTTTAAAGAAGGTATCCTTGAGAAGGTTTAAGTTACGTATTTCACCGAAACTATACCTAGAATGCAAAACCTAACATGAAAAATTGGCTCCTTTGCCATAACCGCGGCTATCATGCATTTGAATTAATCCTTTTAACATGACCATTGCGTAATATTCTGTGGTCGCATAAATGTTGTTTTAAATGTGGAGTGATTGCATTTCGAAACTACCTTAACTCTGATGGGCCCAACGGGACAGGCTTCGTGTCTTTAACAGCAATGATTCGGGTGGTTTTATTTGTCGACTCTGAATTTTAGCCACATTCTGTGTATGCCAAGGACGTCCTTGATATTGAACAATTCTCAACTGTAAAAGGTGTCAAAATTGAGGCAGAAGACATTAGTTTTTATAAGAAATTCTGCTCTGGCGCCGTGTCTATACCCTGGCAACAAGAGGTTAGTATTATCGAGTTTCATTGTTTTCAATTTACTGTCGGTACAGCAAGTGAATTACGACCTGATCTTTAATTGTGAATAAATTGCAAACAACGCACCTGATGTTTTCTGCATATTCAAGCAATTTACTGGTATTGGGGGGAGACTGTGAAACCGCTGGACCACTGCATTTTATTTATCAATCGGGTTGGGTCGTATCCCGTTGTATCTGTAGGTGCTTATAAGTATGTGGGGTGGCTGAGTGCAAATATTCACTATAAAGTCATACGCAATTGTTGTATTAGATGGGACTGTCTCATCTTACTTCTTCCCCTTCCAGATGATTGAAACGGAGTGCTTCGACGATCTCAATGTATTTTACAATCCCGATGGAAGTGTAGTTGCGAACTTAAACGAACTCATGCCTCCCATCGATGAAAACCAAACTCAGTCGTCTTGTTGTCTTCACTTTTTAACACGCATTTTTCGTTCTCGCAAAGACCGCAAGCGTAAGTTTAGGCCCCATTATCAGCATCATAGTCGCTTCACCAACCACAATAACGCTACGATAATCTCCCTAACGGACTCTCCTTCTCCCTCTCCTGTCGTCGACCCCCTCGAGGGTATTGCTCCAGGCCTGTTTGAGGAGGTCTGTCATGACGAGACCGGTGAGGCCCTATTGGACATTGCTGTGGAGCGATCGCAATTCATTGATATACGGAAACTCCCACCAACACCTATTGTTTCAGGCTCCTCATCCCCAACAAATTAATGCTTTTCCGGGGCAGATCGGTCTGGGTTATCGAAGTTGCCACTATCGGAATAGATTGATAAGGACTTCGTTTCGTGTCCATTTCTAAAGCTCCTTCTGCCGTAGGAAATGAATTTGACTGTGTAAAGTTACGATTAGACCATCGCTTCCACCCCTGCAGTTGACCTCTGAATCTATCATGGGTCTACTCCTCTTTTCTTCGCTCCGTCCTGTTTTACCTTCCTATTTATCGTCGGGTCAGAACTGATGGTTTAAAAATCTAGTTAAAAGGAACGTTAATGTGGTTCACCTGTATAGAAGAAATATTTATAAAACAATCACTTCAAGCTACTCACCTATACCCAAATATTCAAAAGTGCTTCTTACAGATTAATCATGTATAGCTCTCCCCATTCCTCCTCTCCCCCACTTACCTCTAAATGTCCTCCTGGTCTTGCAAAGCCAGGGTTCCGTAAGCTCCCCTCCACGGAAATTGTATAAATCCGAATGAATTCTTATTCACTTGTCATTTTGCTGTCGACGTGCACTCTGTTTCCATGTCGTGTACTTTTATTTGACATGGTGCCTAGCCTTACTCGCATTCCTTACCTTTTAAGGGAAACTCCGCACTATTCTTATTGCATTTATACGCAAAATAACTACTATTTTAACGACCATGCAATTGGGTTTGCTTCTACGTCTTGACTATGGCGTACTAAAAAACCAGAAATCAGGGAGTAAATTTCACATCGCCACAATGTGTGTCGGGAGTAACCTTCTCGTGCTTTGTTGCCTTAAATTTGAACTGACTACTTTGATTGTAACTGTCGACATGATTATGGATTAAAGAAATGATTTTGACTGAGTACAAGACAAAAGAACGAAAAGTTAGATTAGTAAGCCAGTTGAAGCACTCGTTGATTTGAAATTATCGGATATTATTTTCTTGGAATTGTGTAACTTACCTTTTTAACCTGGCCATCCTGTAGACCAAATATGTTTGATTGTGGACTTACATGCTTAATTATTGACAGGAATTTATTTAAAAGAAATCAGAAGTGCTTCTGGAATTTCAAAGATTCTGTGAGCTGGGACGAGTTGCACTTGTGGCATTTGAGGTATGATTTCATCTTTCGGTTTAAGTACGAACATTTCATCTGCTTCCATCTTCACTCGAAACCCTTTTTATACAATAATGGCTTCTAATTATTAGGATCCTGGTTGGTTCCGTTTTGCCGTCTGATGGGACGATTGAAATGGAAGGATATAGTTAAATTTGACTAGTGTCCCATCCAAGGATGCGTGTGTTGCAATTATTATTTTCCCATACAAGGCATAATAGGGTACACTCGTGTAAATTTTTACCCCATATATTGATGCAAGTCCCCAAGCTAACAGTTGGGACTCCTTGTTTGGCACATCAAAGCCTCCCTAGATTAAGGGAAGACTAGAGATTGTGTGGAAGGTTTTACAGTATAATCCAAGGATTCGTGTACAAAATGGGGCCAACTTAAAAGTTGTGTAGATTCTCAAATGTGCCAATTTATGTAACTGTAAGCAGTTCGAGATGAATAAACAACCTGAGTGATGAGTTCTTGGTGTGGAAAACGGTGTGGTGAAATCCAAGCGTAGTAATAAAATGAAAGGGAATGAGGGAATCGGCGTCACAAATAACAGGGAGTGTCGATATCCCCAACACATTTTCCACTTAAAGAAGCCAATTAAACTTCTTAATTGGGTCGACTTGATGCAGAGTGCATGGCGGTGTCGACGACTGCTTCGCTTTGTTTCTCATGAGCCCTCCGTTGGCGAAATCCTGTGGATTGATAATTTGCTGATTTGCTGTCTTCGCAATTTCGCTTCGGTGGTGTTGGGTTTGATGTCTCATCCATGTATGACGACGCACCTTCATGTCGAAGTTGACCTTTTGACGCAGATGTGCAATTGTTCCTATTATCCATTGAGCACATCCAGGTCGATAGTCTCGAAAGTACAAAATGGTCCCTACCTCAAAAAGAGTGGAATGTTTCTTGTAAGTGGATTTTATGCTCTTCCGTTTCTGGAGTCTGAAAGATGCAAAAGTCCTAGCGAAAATCAAAGTGACCATATCAGTGATATTATTTTAGCAATGTGAAATAAAAGCAGTGGCCTTAAATCGAATTATAATATTCAATTTGAGATATCTTGTTTTCATCTAAAAATATGTCATGGCCTGCTAGTTGGCATAAAATTTATGTATTACTCAGCTAAAAGTTTGACTGGATAAGCTTTTCCTTTGAAAAATATTTTTGAGACATTACGATAAACGAAACTTGCACAAATGTATCCAAATGTGTTTACATTAAGTGGGGAAGAATATGTTTGTAAACATACATTTGATATTTTTATCCTTCCTGGAAAGTCAATATCAATGTAAAATGAAGAATGAAAATGTTAACTTTAACGGTCTTTGCTGATATTTGATCATTTCAAAATGTATATTCGACTTTTATCTTTTTTTTATTTAGAATTTTAAGTGCTTGAATTTGCGAAATTCTACTTTTTAAAATGCAGTGTTAATTTTAATTCTTTAACAAAGCTGTATGTCATTGGATGTGAAACGGCGCACGAAATGGAAGATTTTGTCCACCAATAACCGCCTCTTTATGATCACATCAGCACGTGCAGTAATTTCTAGTTGATTTCTTTTATTTGAATGGCTTCTCAGCAAGAGCCACCTGATGGACTTGGTCGAAATCATCGGTATTTTTGTTATGTATGTGGCACACTCCTTCCACATAAATTATCTGCTCAAGACTCTTTTATATGCAGGAAATGCTTAACACCCACTTATCTCTCATGGTTCGTTGGGATGAAAGTCGCGTTTGATTCTGAAATGTCAACGGAATGTGAATGTTTGAATGTTCATTCTTCTCCTCACTTCTCAAAGATGCTTATCAACGCCCAGAAAACTCTTAGGTCTGAGGAAGCTCTTAAGGATGCTGGCGATTGTCTTCCTGATGCGAATGCACATGATGGCCCATCCGTCAAAAAAGACTGCCATTATTGCGGCAATGATCGAATGACTTATGTCACAATGCAGTCACGTTCCGCCGATGAAGGTCAGACTGTCATTTACACGTGTACGCAGTGTAAAAAGAAAGAGATTGAAAATACATAGTTTCATGCAGCTTTTTTGCCTCTTTAACGTAAGTCATGGCTTGTACTTATGCTTAATGTTAATCCATGAATCGCAGTATAATTGCACTTATCTACCGTATTAATTTCAGCCACCTCCTGCACTAATTTTTGCCCGTTCATGTTCGTACCATTGATAAAGATTGTTTGACCGTATTTATGGGCCTTTACACTCACGATTTGTAATGGAGGGGAATTTATCCTAGTTTAATATATACGGTTTTACCAAAATTTGAATTACAGTGCTTCAACTGCAACTGACAGTCTAATTCAGCGACAGTTATGATGATGCATCTAGAATAACCGCCCTAATCGGAGCGTCGTTTTTGCTCATAGATCACCTTGTTGATTTGGGCATCAAAAGTTCATATGAACAAGAAACGATGCTACAGTGGCACATTCTCGTCCTGAATATCCATTATTACTCTTGGTCTGTACTTCTAGTCGGTGCAGCGTTGATTTCTGTCTCACTTTTCCACACTTTCCACGCCTCCTCCGAACATGAAGTTTCGGGTAAGATGGGTGTCTGTGCTGCTAAAGCTTGATTTACGGAATTATTTGCCCCTTGTTGAGAGGCTGTAGTGATTAACGGAACTATCGTGTACAAAAATACCTAAGAGTTCGTAGTTCTTCACATTATCGGCAAAGGTGAACAGAATCGGTGCCACTTATTACATCACTTTGCCGACTTTTTGTTCGTACCTGGTGTACTTTTATTATCTAAAGACTTTCCCCGAATTGTTAATAAACAAATCGAGCTTCTGTAACCTTGTGATTAGTGTTGTCTCATATTTGTAAGAAGACGTTAATTTTTAAACACTTGGCTTTTTTATAATGGTGATACAAATCCTCTGAAATTAGAGACGTGGTCAGTTTATTGATCATTCTCAATTTGTTCAATACAACACAAGTTGCTAGGGGGGGAAAGTATGTCACTACAGAAACAGACATGCACGGAAGGTAAACGCACACTTGAGGTTTAGTAGGATATCAGTCAAACTGACATGATTGATGAGGTGCGAATTAAGTAATTGGTGATGCAAAGAAGTGGCGACGGGGCTCCCTGTTTTCGTTGATTAAGTCTCACATAAGAAGACATTTCTAAATTTAAAAAAGTTAATGAAAAGTAATTCTCGTTTCGTGAGACAGTTATGAGTCAAGATGTTAGATTTGGAAACAAACACAAGATTTACTTTGCCGAACGGAAATATGACGATCTTTTGAAATCTAATTTAGTATACACGAATGTGATTATATGATTGTCTTGTTGACTTTAAATAAAAAATGCTATTTTTATGCAATTACTAATAAACCGAGTGAGAATGTGGTTATGAAACTAGACCGTAATTAATATGGTTCACTATAAGTAGGCTTCTTAAGCTCAGATTTTTGGGGTTAATTACGCCAAGAATTGTACTACAACGACCCCATTCACAAATCAAGGGTCACTTGTGCATGTTAATGGCTGTTGCCCGTAAAACTGTCAAGTAACAATTTCATTTTTCTTCTAGATATGGATAGGTGGTGTAGTTTGATTCAGTGGAGTTTCAGCACCCTTACTAATGTTCTGAGAAACAGGCAAAAAGTCAACAACTGCACAATTTATAAATTATGCAGGTAGACAATACTACGGTGGAAATATCATTAGTAAACATTGGGAATCGAGTTACCAAGATCCTCACCTCATCTGTCGATGACGACTGTGAACGAAGATGAGAACCGGCGGCACGAACACGTTCCTGAACAATTTGGCAATTTGCTTGTTCCTAAGGCGCAATTAAAGTTAAACACCAGCATGAGCTAGAGCGCTTCGTTGTCCTTAACCATCAGTTTTTAAAATGCACACGATAGGGCTGTATCCAAATTTTCTGGGTTGTACAGACACGCCAGAGGTGCAGGAAGCTTCGGAGCAGTTTCAAAGATGGTAAAGCAGTGTACGTTGCTACGTATCAATTCGTATTAATCAGACTAGGGTATCTTGGTGGTCCGATTCCGCAACAATCTGACCATTATGTGGTATTTGTTTAATAGACAAAAAAAGTTGCCATGTACTTGTGAAGGCGTTCGCCGTCCAATACAGACAAAGATTTCTGTCTTGTCGTGATCGTGTTAATTCAGAATGTATTTAAAAGACCGCACTTTCGGAAGGAGAGAACAGGAAGAGTGGAATTAATCTAATGCATGCCCCGTCATTGCATTTATTATAAGACCAACCGAGACATGCCTAATGTGTACTTTTGTTGAGCTAATTGCTGGAAGGTCACATTTGTGCGGAGCACCATGTCAAGTTGCTTCGAGGTAGATACACAGGAAGCATTGTTGACTAAATCTTAAAGATTACCTATATTACAATGTTGGTGATTCAACTTACCACTCCATCGTTATCGATCAATGTGAAGGTGATATTACTGCCAATCTTGAAAGATTGGTTCTTCATAACAATGTCAGTGGGAGGGTCATGCGAGGCGCCAGAGTCGCTGTTCCAAACCTAAACCGAAGACGACGTCAAACGTCAAGTGAAAGAATGCAGATTTTTTATTGGTATCCATTGTGGCATGGCTACCTGTCACATTATTTCATGTTTTTCATCACCGATCAAGATGAACTCAGAGGCGAATTAGATGTTTATCTACAAACTCTGAGTAAAGCTCCAAATAACGCAATAATTCGTTGAAAAATTGGATGTTTCGGATATCCGGGTTGAATTTTGTGGTGTTTACGCAGAAAGAACAAGTGGCTATTAAAAATATACATTTTTGGGTAAGGAGGGACCTTTGAAAGGTTAACAAAGGTGAAAGCACAGAACACTCAATAAAGCACGATTCCCTTTATCAATGTAAAATAAGCGCATGTCTTTTCCTCCTTTGTTCAGGAAAGTTGGGTCTGTCATCCATAGAAACAATTTACGTACCAGTTAAATGCCCTACATGCTCTTACCAAGGTGTGACATTGTCAAACGTTTCCATTAAGCGGTGGAAGTCAAACAAAAACCACAATGCCTAAAAGCTAAGCAATGGTAAGCAGAACTTGCGGTTTACCTGACACGTTGCTCCTGGTTTAAGTGTAGTTGAGCGGTGAAACTTGTAAGTCACCTCGTGGTCGCTAACCAGCTGTTGGAGAACCCAGTTTCCAATGTTTATTTCCTAGTCATTAAAAACTTGCTAAATAATTTAGGTCAAGTTAGGATAGGAAACAAGTATATGCGAAACTGCTCTACGGGAATCAACATTGTTTGATTTCGGATATATAAGATGGTGAGGAAGAACGGTATGGAAAAGGATTTTTTATTGGTGACTGTAACATGGATTTTAGCACGCCATTAAAACAGATTATAGCTAGTGCACAAATAAGGGCAATTTATTTTTGTTAAATAATACTCCAGTGGTATCACTCGATAATTTTTATGACCCTAACGAAACTTACACTTTTTGGTTGTATAAAAAAACTAGATCTATGAAAACAAAACGAGAATTTTTTAACCCAGTCTAGATTTAAGCGCTCTTTCGTATTGTGATGGAGGTCTCAGTAAACTAAAAGGTAGATTGGACTAGTGTTGAACTATGTAAGCTGCATTTCAATTAGATTAGGCTGGCCAAAGTAGGTAATCCGATTCAACCAAGTATGTTGCTTGGAGAAAAAACAGCCTATATGCTTAAAACAGAAAGCATTGCTTAATATTTAAATACGGTGATTTATGTTGCCACTGGGTTTGAAGAAAATCGATATCAGCAAAGAGCAAACGCAACACTGCACCATTATGAATTGCCTAATTATCAAAAAAATCAAGGCTTAAGCACAGCTGCTTCGTGTATCACGGCACTCACATCACCTGACGTGTTGATTAGTTTGACACATTTGAAGCGTTCATCTTGGTCGGCGGCGAATTCAACACTGCCGTTACCGTGGGCCGTGACACGGTAGGTAGCGTGTGTCAATCCTGCCAATGGGGAACTTGTGCACGCAGAATGAATGCCCTCGTCTTCCTCATCGTAGTCCACGCTGACTGGGGGTCTATGCTTCATCCGCGAAAAAGGCGTCTCGTGGGGGCTTGTTGAAATGTTAAGACTGAAAGCAAAAATGGCGTGAATGAAAAATTGAAGTTACGTACATCAACACTAAATCGACTGAGGTGTGATTGGCCTGTCCAGCACTTGTCGAAAAAAACTCCATCTGGTTTGCGCAACTCCACGGTTTCTAGTCCCACATCGATTCTACACTCTTCTTTCAAGACAGCTTAACTAGTCCCACTGTGCAGGATGGTCGGGTAATTCACCAAACGCGAAGACTTCCAAGGTTGCATCGACGTAATTGTAATTGTAAATACGCACCTCTGTTATCATAATTATAAGGCATTTCTAGTCTGATCAGAATCAAAAAGTAAGTATTTTCATGCATTGATCTCAAATTTATAGGCAACAAGCCAAAGACTAGTCTCAAAAATTGAGAGTAAAAACTCGGAAAAAGGTTCTTGCCGTGGAATTATTGAGTTCAAGCACTCCATACCACGAGTAGGATCCGATAGAGTGCACTCGTACCTATGCTGAGTGTGTCGATGCGTCGCTGAATATGAGAATCCATGACGCGGTGAAATCTCTCCATCCCATTACGTTTTAAAGTTCAACAAGATGTGGTTCAACTATACCAAAGGATATTCCCTTGTTTTAAAGCAAAATGCTAGAATCGACAGTGCTGAATAGGAATATTACCCAAAGTTGTCCTGCAATTACGAAGCACTCCAATTAGGACACCTTCGTTTACTCACTATCTTAGGTCAGAACTTTCTGCATTAAAAACTAATTTGACTGGATGCGCCACCGTTGTAACAGCGTTTGGCCCACCTAAGTATTCAAATTTTATCTTTTCGAGGTTTAAGCCAACCTCAGTAAGAACTTTGAGATGGCTGCTCTCATTTTTTTGCTCTAATTTTGTTTTTGCTCTAATTTGTTTTTTATTACGAAAATGAAGCTCAAAACTTCGAGTAAACAACGAAATTGTGCTAAGTGGAGAACACGCGATCAATGGTACCCTAAAAAGTA